AAAACAAAATCACGATGATTTTTGACATTTCGCATTTAGGAAAATCTTTTTCAACAATATTCGTCAATTTTTTGAGAAATCTTTCCAGCTTTGGATTTTTTGTTAAGTATTACGTCAAATGAAGTTATTAATGAGAAAAAAATCATATTATTTGGCTATATCGAATCGATTCTGGCAAGAACACGTTTTCATGGTACTAGTACAGTGGCCCCTCAATTTGTTTACTCGCATTCAAAAAAAATTTGAGTATTTGAATCGAAGTTTTTTTAACAAATTAAATTTTTCCACCATGTTAGGAATATACATATTTAGAAAATATCTATTTGGTTTTCTTGAATGAAAAGTACCTATATTAAATGAAGGAAAGGCATATATTGATACAGAGAATCTGTAACAAATGAACACATTCCAGTAGAAGATAAATATCTTATTTATTTACAGTAAACAAGTATTTTCACTTATAGCAAATTACTTTTCATCAGTAACAAATATTTCTTGTCGAGTAATTCCAACCATAGTTGTCATATATTTTTTATCAGGAGAAAAATTTGGTTTGTCAAATTTTGGTTGGACCAAATTTCGGCTAATAATGAAATACAATAATATTATATACTCTCACGAATAATTCTCCTAATAATGGAAAATACAATTCGTTTTGCATTCAAATAACACATTATTGTGAGATTTTCACTTGACAGTTTACAAAACAAGAACTGAAGTAATCGTTAATCCTTAAGTCACACAAGTTTCGACTCCTGAGGGTTGTCGTTCGTAGGGATGCGACAGTTGCTTAACGAAAAAACAGATTTTAAACAGAATTTTTTTTAACAGAAGCCAGCCGTACATACATGTTTTCGGTTATAATATCTTGTGTTTATAATAAAATTGTTATAAAATTCACCACAGAGGCATCTTGAGCAAACCATAGACATGTGCTTCGGGTTGTGGTATGTTATGATCAGATCTAACAAGCTTCATACACTTGCTGGTGTGTTCTCATACTTATTTCACTAGTAGCGACCGTCCCGGCTCTGCACGATGCAATGCAATGATACTAAATATAAATTCACCCCACTGAAAATTTGAGGGTATGAAGAATACAGTGACGTGTCCCCCCCCGCGGCTGGCGCCCCAGTTGGAATAATTAAAAAATGCTTTCTATTGTACATCTACATCTACAATATAAAATGAAACTACATACAAAATTCCAGCTTCCGAAAATATAGTAGTACTGGGAAACAGTGATAAAAAAATAATTTCCTTATGTAAACGCCTAAGGAGGGGGCGCCCGAGTTGAAATATTCGAAGATCCTTTCTTAGTGCATATCTGAAGGCTAGGTCCGTACTGCAGGAAGATTGGTAGGATGGTGGATGGTAGATAGCTTCCTGACGAACATCCTGCTATTTATAAACGTGAGTAACAGAACGACGGTACTCGCAGTGGCGTCTATCCAACCTAATCAGTCGTGTTTGATATTCCAGCCGGGTAGCCTAGCTAGGGAGGAAAACGTAATAAGTTCTGTGTACAAAAGAAGGGCAATTTGGGACCCAGCAGATCCACCGAGGAAAATTTCAAAAATTTTGACGACACTGCTGATATAGCTCCTCTGAAGTTCGTTGAAATTCTTTGCAATTTGCATTCAGTCAACTTCAAAAGTAGATCGAATGCCTCAACTGACATGTTTGAATACAACTAAAATTTGTCAGGGTGTTGTCGTAATTTTTTTTGTAGATTCTCACGATTTCTCCGTCCTGTTGACGCCTCAAATTGTAAGTATGCACCTACGGTTTTTTTATAATACTATTTGCCACTATAATTCTCGAATATGAACTTAGTAAATTTTTTTCGCAACTTTAGAGAGAGAGACATGATTGTTACTTTTTCGCTTTCAGTTGGATACTGGCTTCATTTCACTGCGTCCAGGATGCATTGCCCCTCCACCATCCACCTTTACTATCCACCCTCCAAGCGACCATCTAGCATCCTGCAGTGCGGCCCCGAGTTGACCTAAGCACCCATATACTAAATTTCAGCTTCCTAGGAATTACCACTACGTAGAAACAGAGATGAGTGTTAAGTGACTTCCGCATTTATTCATCATAATGAAAATTTAAATATGTGACGTAAAACGTCAAAATATTTAAAAAAAATTCATCTAAGAATTACGAGTATCTGTGTTTCGCGTTTCGCTTAATGTCGAACATTGGGAAAATATTCCACCATCCGTTCTTATGGATACGTATCCTCTTCAGTTGGATCCATTGATCTGAAATAATATTGGAAAATTGCTCGCTTCCAACCATCGAGCTTGATAAATATTTACAGACACAATGAAAACAAAGTTATCACAGTTCACCCTCCAATGCATATTGAGAATTGGAAATGAGAAGGTACAGAAAGAGAACGCTAAACTGAAATAATAAACTTTTCCTGGAGTTTCATTGAATTCAAAATGATTCTTGAATAAATTTCATGTGTTATTTATTCATAGCAAAAAAGTTGGAAAGCGGAATTTGTGGAATTGTGACAGTTGAATTGATTCTCGTTGAAAATGTTAATCGATGGTTTTATGGAAAATATAAGAAGTTCATTAGTAAAAACTTAAAAAATCTAAAACCAAATCGCGATCCTCGAAAACAATGAACTTGCAAAATGCGACTGAAATTGTCAAAACACATATATTCAATAGTTTTAAAAAATGATATCACACCGTGATAAACAGGAAAAATTATTAGTTCTCAGTGAGATGTCGTTTGGGTAGCTTGAGGCTACCCTTGAAGGGCTTATTCCGTCTTACTCTCATCTTTTCATGACACCCACACCAACAATTTTGTGCCATGAACTGATTTGAACAGATCCCTTGCTTGATGTACATCGTATTCTTCTGAACATAACTCAGGTTATCCATGAATTGTTGCCTCCTGTGATCCAATGTCTCTCATTCGCATTAAATATGAAGAGCTCTCTCTCTGTCATTTTATTGTATCGTCTGCAGTTGATTATTCTGAGTGTATCCCTCCCTTGTTGAAGCAGTTCTCTCCAGAGACGGACCCTTTACAAAATTTTTTCGTATATGTTTTCTGACGTTTCCTGGTGGGACAGTAGCCTGGTGAGTTGATGTGGGTGGTTTGCTCTACTCACTCAATTGACTGTTGTGTGAACCGCAAGGTTAGGACTTTGTTAGTCCTTAGCTCGCACAAGTTTCATCTTTTGAGAGTTTTCTTTCGTAGGGGGCGACAGCTGGTTAACAGAAAAGCAGATTTCAGATATGTTATCAGATATGTTATCATGGGTTCAACCATCATGTTGCAGAGCCGAAACATCATGTCTGGTTATAGATCACATGTCTTACCGTAGGTGCGTCTGACCAGCATCAGTGCTACCCCCGCCTTTCTTTCAAGTGATTACAGTGTTTGTTTCCAGGTAAGCCTGGGACCTGATATCATTCCCAGATATTTGACATCCGCTAACAGATTTATTCATGCATCCTGGAGTTTCAGAGGTCCTGAACCCCGTTGTTTTGGTCCTTTCGGTAAATAATACAACAGTCGATTCCATTGGGTTCATCGTCGATCCAGTTATAAATTTCAGGGCCTGCTGCATGCATCCTTCCACTATATTATTGGGTTGTTTCAAATGTTTTGTCCGGTCAAATATCATGTAGTTCCATATCTCAATGAATATTTATTCTATTGTGTCGGGGTATATACTAATCGATAGAGAATTGTGTACTCAATACATTGCTGTTAATTTTTTTTCAAATTCTGATTTGTTACTCTTCTCAGTATATAACCATATGATATCATTGAGCGATTTTCGGTCAATTTATCTCTACGAAGCCTGGACCTACCTACAGTACCTAGGACCTACATTAATCTAGGACGAAAATTTGAGGGCTCTGGTGGAGACAGCCATCATGAAAAGTGTGTCAGTTCCCATGCAGTTTTTCATGTTTAAAAAAGTTCGAAAAGTGGGTGCCCCATTATTGAACGGTTGACAGAAGTTTTGCGCAATCGAAACAATCCTTTTTTTAATCGAGTTGTCATGTATGACGAAAAGTGGATCCTCTACAATAACAGGAGACGTTTAGGACAGCAGCAGCTGATACTGGCTAAGAGAAGGGGTCCGATTCTGCCTCAGCCACCATTCATCCCAGACCTTTCAACAAGCGACTACCATCTTTCCCAACACCGGGAAAAAAACGGCATTCATCAACTTCATCAAATCCTGAGCGCATAATTTTAATGCTAATAGAATTAATCGACTTGTGTTACGTTGGTAGAGGTGAAATAACTCAAATGGGATTCACCTCGAATAAATTCAACTAGTATTCACTAGATATTAAAGTACTTTCTATATAACCAGCCGATCGTCTCTAGACGCTCTTTCAGGAGCCTACAGTTTTGAATCTGTCCAGGACTGCGGTATAAGATTTGTAATTTCTAACCCGGAGAAGTACACCTGGAGAAGTTCTTTTATAGTTTCTCCTCCTGTTTTTGTGGTATACTTCAATATCAAAAGTAATTCTCCAATTTGAGTTATAGAAAGCATCACAGAAACATCTTATTAATTCTTTGACATATATGAACTAAATTTGTATTAATTTTTTTAATATCATTCAGCGAAATGCTGATTTTCATCCTTAGAGCTTTCTATTGTTTTGTCCTCTGCAATTCAATGCATACTACATCCATCTGTGAAATAAGTAGCCCTAATTTATGTATAGGGAATAAGACGCTCAGTTTGTCAAGATAAATTTATTAATCTATGTCACACTGAAACTGGCTAATGTAATAGGTGACACATATCGGGTATAAATCATGAAGAAAAACAGTAATGTTTTCGAACAGGCACACATACACAAAAATATGAAACAACACATGATAGTGAACAGTAAAAACAGAGGACGATCGTCATACAATGGCAGTGGCAGGCGCTGTTCGACAACAAAAACTGTTTATTCCTCATGTTGAAGCGGTTTCGGATGGCAAAAAGTGACCCTCGATCCTGCCGCTGCCAGAGTGACGACTGAGGGGGGTGGAGAGGATTTTGTCAGAAACGTACCCGTGATTAGTGTTGAACTGGAGAAGGCGCGACTTGACCCCTCTGCGCGGCAGCGACCGAGGGCCGTCCACCGAATTTGTTTTCCTGTATGAAAAAAAGTTTACTTACAAAGAAACATGAATAATATCGTTTGTTCATGCGATATATAGGACAATGGTAGAAAGTCTTCCCCAGTCTTAATATTTGAACGGCACAAGTTTACGTAAAAAACATAGTTTTCAATAGTTTCCAATAATAATTTTAATAATGATGTTCATTTGTACATATGAAAAATTTGAATGCACCATGAAATACAATTGAAACGGTCGAATGAAAAAATAATTGATTGAGTAATATATCAATGGCAATATGAAGTGATATACTAGTGATATAAAAATTGTGGTCCGCTTAACATGAAAACTCGCACAGTGACTGGAGACGCCCTCTATTGTCATGTGACACAGGTCGCATGGTGTGAAACTGAAAGGTACGCATGCGCTAATTTAATTTCCGTTTCCGCTTGTTGATTTTATTCTTCAAGTAAGAAGTGTTTGTGAACATACATTGCTTTAATTATCACGATGTCATCTTCTGAAAGTCCAGAATGGAAGCCAGCGATAGTGACAGGATCCTTGTTTCGTGAATCAGTTTCTCAGCATGCCATGGCATGAGAAAATGCCATCATTTGGGCAATAAGTAGAAACTTACTCCATGCTTCATATATATGCAGGAACCATCACGTTTTTATGAATGTTCTCATCAATAGAAAATATTTTTGGACAATTTAGATGCCAATGATAGGAAAGAACTTCCTCACGTACTGGTTAGGTTGAGTTAGGTTAGGTTAGGTTAGGTTAGGTTAGGTTAGGTTAGGTTAGGTTATCTACATGACAATATTTTGATATCAGAATTCATAGGGAAACACAATAGAACACAAACTGTGTTTTCCGTAAGAATGAATGTTCTATATTTCTGAACTATCCTTAATCGAAGCTGTTTAATAAAAATATCCCAGACCCAGTAAAAGATTACGATGTCTTAAATAGAGCGATAATAGGAGATTTTGCCTTGAACTGTCATCAGTAACTTTTTTTGATAGACAGACCGTTACCCGAACATTCAACTCGGAAAATAAAAAATTACCGAAAATACTTACTCGGCATTAGTTTCGGGAGTTGGCAGATCACCAATGGTCGTCAAAGTGAGCGTTGACCAGTATAATGATCCTAAATATTTTCGTGTCAGTGTAGCGTAGTCTCCTGGTCGATAAGGATAAACCCAATCGCCCTGAAACAGATAAAGGATGAAAAATATAGGTCCAGGAGTAGTGGTGGAGAGTTGTAAAGTCAATGCCTTGGGTCGGAATAGATGTTCATTTCTGTAGAGGAGATGTTTCAAGCGAAATTGGTTTTCGGGGAAATTGAGTGAATATTCATACGCTGTGGATCGTTTCTCTCTGATACAGTTTGAACAAACTACATAGTAATCATGCGGTAATTGAAGGGTCGGTTAGTTATTTTCAGATTCATGATTTTGGGTCTTTTGAGTTTTAGGTACTTCGTATCATTCACTTATTGCCTAAGTGGAAAAGTCTGTACATGACGAGCAAATATCGAGCAAGGCATTATTCAAGAACAGTAGCACAAATTTCATTCAAATTTCTGAAACAAATCACGCTGATAGTAGGGAATTGTTGATAGTAGGATAGTAGATCATGTATATCCAAGGCTATTGTGTATCACTTGGGTTTCGAAAGCCATATTGATATGAATACAAGAAATGAATGGATTACAAATTGCTGTTGCAATCTCAAGAATTCTTGATATTATTGACAGAACAGAAATCGATCTAAATAGGTCTTCTCTCGAAAATTGTCTAAACCTTAGCAATTTTCAATTTTGGAAACAAAATAAAAAGGAAATAATAAACAATTTTTCAATTGATGATGATAATTGTAATTCAACTTCCATTTAAATTTTGGTTATGATATTATCAAAATCAGAGAATTTTAGGTACTTACACCATATATAATAAACATGAAATAAAAAATTGCAACATATTAATTCCAAAGTATGCATCATTATGCTTTTTGACAAACATGCTCCAATTTGCACTGTAAACAGAAAACATAAAGCATCCCCGTATATAACTTATAATATCAAATTGATAATGAAAACCCGTGTCAAATATCTTAAAGAAAAGACAGCAGCCTCTAGACAGTGAAAAAAACAGCGTATATATAATTTGTTTTGAACAAAAATGAAAACAATTCAAAAATGGCATGGAGAAATCTTGCAGATTGGGGTGTTAGTACAAAATCATCCTCGCAAAGCAATAGCCTGCCAATTGAACTACGTAGACCTGACTATTTTTTAAACGTGGCTAGACATTCAATAGTAAATAATGACACTCTTTCATTCTACAATAATAATAAATTGAACGCTTCTATGAACTTTTCCCTCATCGAACTTTTCCGACATAAAATCTAATGCTTTAGGTATTGACAATATAAATATCAAGATGATTTCTTTAGTGATAGCACACTGTATTGATGAAGTTAAACATATTTTCAACGAGTCCTTCGGAGAGTGTATTTTTCCAGATGTTTGGAAGGTTCCAGATATAATTCCAATTCCGAAAAAGAATGCACCTATCACGTTCAGTGACATACGCCCTATCAGCATTCTGCCTTCATTCTCTAAAATATTCGAGAAAAATGTTTCCCGTCAAATAAGAGCTATTCTTGAAGAAAATCGAATACTCCCGTACGAGTAGTCTGGGTTTCGCAAAAAACACGGAACACAAACTACCCTCTTGAAAGTAATCGACGATCTTGCGAGTTTCAGAGATCAATCAAAAATCACCATTTCAGTACTGCTTGATCAAAGTAAAGCTTTCGATTTAGTGAATTTCGATTTTCATCAGCAAGCTCAAGTTCATAGGATTCGATGACATTTCTCTCAAATGAATGACAAGCTATCTCACAGGCCGATCATAGAAGGTCAAACTGGATGATTACTCATGGTCACCCCTAAAAGAAACAATCTCAGGTGTACCGCAGGGAAGTATTTTAGGACCATTGATGTTTTCAGTGTTCATTTTTGATTACCCCACTTTCTTATCACATTGTCACGTACATCTATACGCAGATGATACACAGTTATAGCTGCCTTCTCATAACACCGATACAGAAAGTGGCATGGCCAATATAAACACAGATTTGCACAAAACATTCCTATACTCGGAGAATCATGGACTGAAAATCAATCCAAATAAGACTTTGGCCTTATGCAAAGGGTTTAAAGACAAATAGTAGTAACTCAGTGTAGCTGTAGGCTCACTCTCGATAACGCAGATATTGACTGGGTAGACAGTGCTAAAAATCTTGGTGTAACCATAGATAGCTCTTTTTCATTCCATGAACATGTGAAAAACATTCTCAAAGTATCATTCTTCAAACTCAAATCACTATATAAATTCAAGTATCAGTTATCAGAAGAAATGAAACTCAGGTTAGTTAAAACTCTTATTTACCCCCATATCGAGTATTGTTGTTCGGTGTATTACAATTTTTTGCCGCAATATAACAAACAGAAGTTACAACGTATACAAAATGCTTGCATGCGATTCGTATGCGGTATACCATATGGTGAATATGTCACCCCATTTTTGTTAAAAATGAAGGAGCTGAATGTGAAGTACAGAGTCCAATATTCGATAAAAATGTTTTTGTTTAAGTTGCTTCAAACTGAAACACCTAGTTATTTATATAGTTATTAAGCTGGCAATCTGACATACATATGGTCAATTTGAGAATTAACTCATTCAACATACCTAGGTACCGTACTTCCAAATTTCAAGGATGTTTTTCTTATATAGCCCCTTCTTATCTGAATGATATGTAACCCCTTTTAAATCATACTATCCATCAATTTAAGAAATAAATAAAATCACAGATGCTTACTGCCCAGTGCTAATTTAAAAAATTTGAAATTCAATGTACCTATGGTAGTGCAATGAAATTGTTAAATTGACCAAAATAATGTTAATATTAAGAGTTATTAGAAACTATTCGATGTACTATTTTTTTCAGTCTCTATTATTGTTATGATAGTAAATAAGTATGTTTATAATTATTTTCTTATACTCTCTGTATAATTTTTGGGAGGGGTGGAAGATAGCCTTTGGCTAACCCTTTTCCTTTTATGTATAAATCTATTTTTATTCATAATAAACGATATTATTATTACTATTATTATTATATTAAATCCTCTATGTCATTTTGAGTTACTGGCTTCAGAAAAATTGATTTTGGATAACTCATTCTTCTCATTGTCTCAATGGTCACAAAGGAGGATGATAGTTTTGAACCAATGTTAACATAGTGATTATTGAAATTCCTACAAATTTCAGTAGTGTCTTCTCTCTGCCTCATTTTGTGGAACATCTTATGGCCTGATATTCTTCACCGGTGGCGTGATTATTATCTCCGCCTGTCCTATCAGGAGATGAGTAATGAAATCATAACCCGGGTTGATATAACGATCACAAATTATAAAATTTGTTTCAAATTATCTGAAAGAACAATTTGTTCAGGCCAGTCTCGAATTACCTACACTGTAGGTTAATGGAATGACATCTATCAGAAAACAATTACTCCCTTGGCTAATACCACGAAGGGCGTTGAATTATAATCGACAGGTGTTAGTGCAGGATTCTTCACTGAAGTCATTCCTGCATATGCTGTTGACGATACAACTGTCGCAATAGATTTTCAATTATTGGAACACACTTGTAGACCAGTTTCGGGCTGTTTGGCCACTCGTCAGTGCAAGGTCGTGTCTATCATTAACATAAAGTTGATGATTTCCTGAAATGAAAATCGAAATTCTTCACAGTATCATTCCTCGAACTAGGCTGAAGCGAACAACAAACAACAGGATTATCATCGCCCCATCTGCTTGTGAACGAGGTAACCAACCGCATATCCGAAATTTGCCCAATTCCTCTTATAAGGAAAAAAAATCCACAAATTGAGTGGGCGTAATTGGAGACTGTCGATATAATCCAATGCCCTTCGTGATATTAGCCACGAGAGTAGTTGGTTTTTATTAGGTGTCAGTCTATTAACCGACAGTGTAGGTAATTTTAGATAATTTGATTTACAGCCAGTCTCCAAGTACGCCCACTCAATTTGTGCAATTTGTTTCATTTTTTGTTTTCAAATTCCAAAAAATAATGTTTGGTATTGAAGTCACCTCAATATTTAATGGATAGAGTAATCCATTGGTTTTAGTTACTGTACTGCTAATTTTTCTCAAGAAAGTACTGTTCAAGGTTCATGTTTCATATTGTGAAAGTCTTTTCAATTATTATCATTTACCATATGATACCATATCATATACCATATCATATATACACTTATATATGATAAGTGGTCAAAAATCACTGCTGCCCCCGCGGGGTGGCATATTTTCATGTCAGCCATTCCGAAAATCCAGCACAGTGTACCAATTCGCATGAGTTCTTCATTGAATACTCGCTTTATTTGTAGACTGAAATCCTCCATTATATCGTCCTATTCTGGTCTTCAGTAGATAGTGTATAATTTGAAGTTATTCTGAGCTGCTCTGGTCCTTTCTATGCGTTATCGTACCAGGTCAGTTCGGGATTTAGTATCAGTCTCAAATACTCAACCTCCTTTCTACACCTGTGAATTTCAGCTCTTAACCTTCATCTTTGTCCTCCCTATTTTGGTCGATTCTGCTTAGATGTAACCCTTCCTTCTCGGCCCATCTTGTTATGATATCCAGGTCTACAGCATGTTAACACTTACGGTGATATTGTCTTGGAATAGGATAACTGAGTTGTCTACGTATATAGTTCTTTTATGTAGAAAATGTAGTAGTTCGTTTATTGCAAGGTACCGCAATAAACTCCATAAAGAGATTCTGTGTCTCGAATGATTTTGCGGTATAAGGTCGTTCTTTTTATTTTTTGGTATAGACACAATAACCATAAATTAACTCTGAACATATATGTCACTCTGTCGTAATATGATTCCGAAATAGGTAATTGTGGTTGGATATTCAAAAGTTTCACAAATTTCTCTATCGTGACAACTATATAACAGTACTAATGATAAATAAAGCAATTTCAATATTCGAGAAGCAATTCAATTCGAAAAGTTTTGTGAACAGATTGAAATAGGTTTGTATTATGTTCCCAAATTGTAAGTCCGACAATAATTGTCGGACATAAATTATTTATGTCAATAGAATAATTTTTGAAAAATTTATAACCAGGACACAGTCACACACACACACACAGTCGTTTATTCCTAACATTTAGATAAAAATGAAAGAAGACAGAATTTATACTCTCTGTGAATAAAAGACTCACCCGAAAACCTTCCGCTTCCGATAGTAAAAAATAGAAGCATCCAAACCAATGAGCAAGTATCAAAAGAATGTGGATTAGATTTATCACCCTCCATAAATTCGGCCAAACGGTTCGGGATTCTACCATATAATAATAATTAACAGCACGATATACCTGTAATAAAACCATTGCATTAAAAAAATATTGAAGTTACCGTCGGTATCAATTATTTGCTCTTCATAATGTAAACAGTCAATCAAAATGGCATTTGTAATATCATTTCACAACACAACAAAGTTTTTGTTTCGGGGTTGAAATTAGATGATTTTAATGTATTTCCACGTGTTAAAACCGAAAGTGACCATAAAAATTATATATTAGCTCTTGTTTTCAAGATATAGTNCATAACAATATTGTTTTATGTACTTTCACTTTTCACGTATAGTATAACTACTCTTTAAGATTAAGTACCGTGTATCTCAAAAACCAGAGCTAATAAAAATTTTTCATTGTTATTTTCGTTTTTATCACCCCAAAATTAGTAGAAATTGACTACTTTAGTGTAGGAAACATTCAAAAAATATTTTTTTGTTGTTGTGTCCTGGCAATTTTTATAATTGCCAGGATAGCGAATGTAATAATATTGTTTTCCTGCCAGGTTCCATTTCAAATATGATTTTTGAGTCAAGATCAGTGGCAACGAAATCATTATACGACTTCATTATTTTGTTTGTAGGGTAAGGAAATTGAAATTCTGAACAGAGGTATAGTCGATATTTCTAATTATATTTCCACTTCATCCGTAATGACACAATACGAAACAATATGAAATAAGTGAGAATCTATATTCCAAATGGCTGCATGAAGCAATTTATCAAATTTCATATGGCGGCATCATGAGGTTATCTAAGGAAATATTGCCACAATTTGATGTAGGGCGAAACAAAAGACAAAATTTTCCAAGTTCTAAAAAAAACATTCAAGAACTGAAATTTTTCAACGATTAACGCAGGGAATTTTTATTACTTTCAAATATGATCTTTGATTTCATTCATCCCAAAAATCTCAATTATTGAAGTGTACCTCTTTTATATCAAAGAAATGGCAAGGGAAGGTACTATGCGATTAATTTTTTCCGTGTCGGTGAAAATGTGAAAGCTGGCACAAAAAATGAACTGCATCAAGTTGTTTAACGATATTTTCATAGATGATTTTATAGAGACGCCATATTGAATTTGAAGGAAATAACTGCTGCGCCACCATTTTGAAGTTAATTGCCGTATACCATTGGAAAGTTTGAAAAAATATACAGTGTTCCATTCAAAATTCTTGACTTGGATTATTTTCCGGTTAAACCGGAAGATATTTTCACTTGTTCCATTGTTTGAAGTATCAGATCCAAAGACTCATATCTTTTTTTTCAACACGGTATACTTCGAGAAACTATCGTTTCACTGATAACTACTATGAAAATTATTCCATCGAAATATTATATAATTTTCAAATACTCGCAGTTATAATTGTGGTTATTGTAAATTTTGAAAAAATCCTGTTGAATTTACATTTCGCAACTCATAACAACTCATCATTTGTCTTAAAATCTCAAATTAATATTTTCGTAGACACAATATATTAAAATGTACTTTTTGTAAACTTAAAAATATGTACTTGCCTTTAAAAATCTTGGACACCTGAGCATCGGATGCCATCCTAATCTAAACTGTAGGAGATCAAGTGGACAAAGGGCCGCCAAGTCCAGCAGAAAGGCACGAGAGCGTAAATAGTGACAGGCCAATTTTTTCGAATCGTACACCATCAGTCCCTGCTCCAAATAGCCGGTCCGAAGCTGTACAGCCAAGTCAAGAAGAAATACCAAATCACTCATGGAATCACAGGTTAGCCAAAAAGTTGAAATCATAGCCTGAGGAAAGAATATAGATTACGTAAAAACTCCAAATAACGTTTCATTCGAGTAAGGCGATAGACATTCAAATAATAGTTGAAGTTTCAGTTGAAGTGTTTGTTGTATTTGAAGTGAAATAAAGTTAAGTCTGATTATTCAGTGTAGTCAATTATTGATGAACCTACGGGGAAAAATGTAACAGTATTAATATTTCATCAGAAACGAACTACATTGCATATATTATCAAAAACATTAAATTTTGAATATCAAAAACGAGTGAGGTATAACTTGCATTTGGGCAGTGATGGAATAGTGCTATGGAGAAGAGAGAATTAAAAAAACCTACAGGAATGAAAGAAGAAAGAATAATTTTGTAGACGAGACTTGGGTTAATGACGGACACAGAAAATCAAAAATTTGACCTGATATTTCTGTCTCTTCTTCAAGACGGGTATCTTTTGATAGACTTTCAACGGAATTGAAAAATTCATGAGGTGAATTATAATTGTATTATATTATTTACATTCATTCGCTTTCGGTATATGTATATTTCACTGATTAATTCGGCTCAATAAATAATACATGAAAATGAATGAGAGTACATTATATTGGGACATTTGAAACAATTGATATCCAGGCTTTCATTGTACGGCATTATTGAGATGGTCGGTTTTGGGCACATACTACAGCAGAAAAAATGCTTTTTGATTTTAGGGAAAAAAGTTTGATAGTATGCCACATTGGAAGTGATGACGAATTTCTTCCAGAGACGCTGTCGGCTTTTGAATCCAAAAAACCGGATATTATTCTATGAGAAAATTAATGGAAACTTTTTTGAAAAGTGGTTTGAATATATTTTGCCAAAATACAGTGATAACTGTTTCGTTGTATTAGATAACGCAGCGTATCATTGCTGGAAACTGGGAAGATATTTCAACCACAGCATCAAGGAAATCTGATATTTAAGACTGCCTGCGTTCTAAAATTATCTAATTTTAAGAAATATTACTAACATTACTTACAATGGAACTTTCAGCAATAGTTCATCAACACAGAACAAAACATGATGAATAAATCATTGATGAAATGGCTAAACTCGAAATAAAATTGTTTTAAGGCTACTGCCAACTCATTTAAATTTGCTGACATTAAAAACATCTTCAATAATGCGATAGCTAACAATACGTCAGAAAAGTGGAAAAAATGCATTGATCATGTAGGTACAGCAGAAAGTGGAGCAAAAATGTGGAAAGAAGACAATATTAAATAGCAACAAGTTGGACAATTTGTAGTGAATGTGAGTGATACTGACATGTCTTTTGACAATAGTGAATAAAATAATCTTCACTGAATATACATATTTATATTCATTTCACTTCGAAGCTCAAAAATGCTCTTTTCATAATCATTTTCAAACCGAATTATATAAAAGAACAATTCGTTCACGCCAGTCTCAAATTATCTACGCTGTAGGTTAATGAACTGACACCTATCAGAAAACAACTTCTCCCCTGACTAATAGCACGAAGGGCGTTGGATTATATCCGACAGATATTAGTGTAGGATTCCTAACTGAAGTTATTCCTGCATACGCTGTTGGCGATACAACTGCTGCAATCGATTTTCAATTATTGGAACACACTTGTAGACCGTTTATCGAAATTAGCTCCACTCAGTTTGTGAAATCATTATCACTTTTCAACCCAATGAATTGAATGAAACGATCAACAAACACATTTACTTGTCATAATAACTTTTAAAATGTTGAAAACTGGTGATATTTTGACCCCATCTATACATTCCCGAGAGGAAAAGAGGAAGTCCAGGGACACCCTGTATATCAGCGCCATTAGTGGTATTCACAACTTTTATAAACATACTAAAGAAATTTCTGACAATTATCTTAAGTTTCTTTTTTTATTTTATACCGTCAAATCAATCATATATGTACTTTTGAGTCACTGTATAATATTTTCAAAATATTTTTTCAAATTTTCCTTGGTAGTGAGGTTTTGCAGATTCATATTTCTGAAATTCTCAATTTAAACACCTTGTAATATTATTTTGACTGTAGAAAAGAAAATCGCAATAAAATAGTTACTTGATGTACTGGTTGAAAACAATGTGTCTTTTATATATTCTCTTTGCGACTGATTACAAATAATCCTTAATTTCTCTGATGTATATTGGCATTACTGGCATAGTGTCCAGTGAATATCTGTTTTTTCGCATGCAATATGTATGCCAACACTTTTAAGTTACTCAAAGAACAATCTTGTTTGCAATACAACCATCGGAGTGCCCAGTAGCACCCTTTATAGATAGCAGTTTCAATAAAAGTGTTTATTTGCGACAACAGCCATAAAACCGATAAGGTGCTCACAGCTCCTATTCAATGACATAATAAAACATTTCATTTTCACCGATGAAATTCCTTCAAACTGCACATAGAAATATCATTAAAACAACAAAATTGACTCTTTTCAAACTGATTATTCTCAAAAATTCTTTAGGTTTTTGAAATTATTCATATTTCAAATAACAAAAGGTTAACATCATTGTTTTCAAATGGCAGAACACAGCAAATATTTTCCCGGATATATGGTTATATTAAACATGCATTTATGAGTGAAAATTATTGCTTCTTCTGCAAGAATAGGTCCAGAAGTAGGACCTCCCTGAAATAAATCGATTGATTACCTGCAGACAGATTTTGGGGTATTGAATGCTTGATCTCATCAAGACAGTAGAGCCATCTGGTATTCAATATAAGTCAATATTTGTCATGGTAATGGCCAGGTGAGTAGTTTTCCCAACAGGATCATCAGATTTTTTTTTCTGATTGATTCGGCCATTACTTGATGAAGATCCATAGTAATTTCAAAAACTACATCTCACGATTTCATTTCACAAACTTTATTTGAAAAAATATAATCACAACATGTTTCGCTAGACCAGTAGCTTTCTTAAGTGTATTCATACACTTGTTGTGATTATATTTTTTCAAATAAAGTTTGTCGAAATCAAATCGTGAGGTGTAGTTTTTGAAAAGGATCATCAGACCCTACTGTTGAGAAACGTTGACAGATGTGTATGATTCAGTAAGGAAAGGAGTCTCCAAAGATGATATATAGAAATAATCATTGGTTTCTTTAGATCAAATGCAAAGAATCGCTTGTACTCGGGAAGCCCGGTAATTATTTCTTGTCATACAACAAGTAAGATATCTTTATAAGAAAGCAAAAGGCTCTCGCATATAACCTCTTACCTGAAGTTCAGGAAAACTTTCTCGCACTATCAACGTCCATAAATTGTACAAAACACACACAGTTAAAACTAGTAACCAATAGAAATAAAAGTTCGAATCGGGGTTAACGACGGATTTCGGTTGTTTCCGGTATCTTCTTCTTCTGCGTGGTGCCGCATGATTATCACCTGAAAAAAAATTGATAATAAAAAACCTGTAGTTACAATTTATTGAAACACAATAATGTAACTGAAAAACTGAGTTCAATACAGGGTGTAACTGAATAAGTGTAAAACATTTAAGGAGGTGATTCGTTATCGAAAAAAAGATAGGATCTTTTATATAAAGAAACTTCGTTGGAGNGTCTTTTTGGTTGACAAAACATCGGGTTAAATTCAATATTGTAACTTTTTTAGTGCTTGTGAAAAAAATTGTTATACAAAGTTTATGTACCCCCTTTAAGGGGCTGCACCTTAACAAGGGATGCTCCAACGAAGTTTCTTTATATAAAAGATCCTATCTTTTTTTCGATGAGGAATCACCTGCTTAAATGTTTTACGCTTATTTAGTTACACCCTGTATAATTACTCTTCTACTATAAATTTCTTATTGCCGTGCTCTACAGAATTCTGTTCTTGGAACTACTTTTCTTATGTTCTGTAATATTTCAGATTTGAAGATTTGAATAATTTCTACATTCTGAACTATCAATGACTTTTTCCCAGTAAGTCGAAAACTATCATTTTTTTATGGTCGATACGAAGATAGAACTGTCAACCTTGGTGAACCGAACTAATTCCATTCACTGTGGCAAAAAATCGCACTGAGAGTTCCACCTTCGAATGGAACTCTGCTTACATTTCCCAAAGAAGAATTAGAATTTGTAATTCGTCTACAAAATTCATACAGGTAACAACAAGTATATTATATGGATCGTTTGTAAACGATATTGAAATGAATGAAAACTGGATAAAGAAAGGAAATTCAACCCGTAAGATGAATTTTTATTGAAAGTGAAAGGGATATATTTCGAGGAGAAAATCATTTTTGTGTATAAAGAAGGTGAAGTAGAAAGCCATAACCTCTTTTCCAATGAATTTTTCAGTTCTTCAACTATCATTTATATTGTAACATATCGAAATTCTATTGAAAATCGTGTCTATATCACAAATCGTTGAAATTCCGCAGTTCACAATAAAATTAAAATACAATGATGACATGCTTATCAAAATTACAGGAATTAATGTAGAGTACCTACAGAAGGTATCGGTGCATGAGAATGCATATACTTGGGTTTGAAACTTATTTCCTCCACATTGCAGTCAATGAGTAAAATTTATTGAAACATTCAATATCAATACAATCGGGTGAACTTCTATGGGTTAATAATCTTAATCTTGGAATTGTTTCTATGGGTTGAAGATAGGATAAATTCATATCCACAGGATGCTTAAATAAGGTTTTGCACCATTCTCGAAGGTGAATTCGAATAAAGCTCTCGATATTTTTTATGAACTCCAGAAGAACTCCAAAATAAGAAACCTCATAAAGAACATTTTCTCCAACCTACAGCAACAACTTGTATATGGCTTAGAATATTTAGGAGACGACCTGAATAATGCATTACACAAGTATTACTGAAGAAATAGAAATCTGCACTTTCGTTATTTACCAGACAGTTAACGTTAAACCACAGGCGTAATGTAAGGCATGATTTCGAGGCGAACTTCAAAGTGATCATGAAGAGCTGGCAGCCAGATTAGGAAGCATTGATGAGATATGAATGAGAGGTGCCAAGATGGATGATTTGATTCAGGATGAATGGATGGGTGGTTTGAGCAGCTTTTCAGGTGAAAAAATGTAATATTCGGAGTGTTTCCGAATAGGCATTCATGATATAAGGATCTTTATTTCATCAGAAAGCTAAGCAGCACTAGAAGCTCTGGAGACTTTGCTTCTGAGTTTCAAATGATTCGGGGCTGCGAAACTATGAGCCATATCACAATAAAATCAAAGGGAGTGTAAAATCTGTGTTCTCGAGAGATAACACCATGAGCAAAACTCTTCCATTAAGTTTTGAGAAGTTATAATTGACAAAAAAGTTGAAGAGCTACTAGAGTTGAACAGAATGTATATCAAACTAGTGATGAGATTCATTACAAAACTTTTATTATTCAATGAGTAGATTTGACGCTCCTGCGGTGTAATTCCTTGAAGAGATATCGGAACTGAACGCTTATTATTTCTGGACTACAAACAGAAGGAAGTACATAAGACCTTGTGAGTCAGAGTATTGAAAGTCTGCAGGGTATTGTAGCTCTTCACAGTTCACCATATGCTGTATTCTCGAAGATTGCTTAAAAATCTCAAGAGAAAAATCTATGACGGACACCAAATTCCACACAGTGAGATAAATATTGGATCTTACTATTCATATTGACTTTTGCGAGTTGTCGTTCGTAGGGGGCCGATAACTGGTTAACGGAGAAACAGGTTTAGATTGTTGATGCAAGAGTTTCTGAAGGAAAAAAAATTACAAAACAATAACATGAAACAAAATGATATGGGCTTGCGATAACATATCTGCTAGAAAAAAAAGTTTCTGCAGAAGTCTGAAGACACGACCGACATTGTGTAAGGAAAAATTTTTGACTCGAAAATCATTATAAACTTTCCACCCTCTAAGCGGGAATACAAAAACAATAAGTTTATTAAAAATGCAAACATTGAATGTATTTTACTCAGAAATTTATCAAATCAATTAGATAAATGCTGGAAATATCTATCAACTTACATACAATGAAACATGTTATTTTCAAACCGTTGTCGTATAATTTGGTATACTTGCGACGTATAGATAGTGTACGATAACACTTTGTATATTTCTCACGTGTTTCCATCAGAAAAATACATTACGAGGTATCTGTTATGAAATCTAATAGTATTTTTCTCATTCGGGGTATCTTCACGAATTAATCTTATTTTGGAATATTTCCTGTAAAAGTCTTTAGAAATCGCAGTACTGTCATGGTCATGACTTCTCCGAATGATTTACAAAGTTTATTCTCACGAGTAATGAGTAGATTTCTCGCTCATTGAATAATATGCCATTAATCATCCAGTTCAGAACCTATTTGAATTGAAAGGTTATATTTTCAGGAATACTCAATTTTTGGAAGAGGACGTTTTTGTCTCTCTACTACTCCATCTTGATCCAAAAAAGTGGGTATCTTTCAAAACAGAAAGGAAACAATCAATTTCAAAAGAAGTAACTCTATATATAGGTAGATGTGTAGATCATGCAAAGAACTAACTTTCACACAAACTGGAAGAAAAACCTCTCCTGAAAAAGCTACTTCCACATAAACATTGAATTTCATGAAAGAAAAGAATTCATTTGAAACAATTATATGAACAGTGAATTATACATAAAAACACTTTTCTCTACTCAGTTTGTATTCCCAACATCCCTTATGCAACTGAATCAGATATCATCCACAGGATTTCTACACACAAAACTGAAGGAAAGGTTGAAATATTTCACTTACCAGAAACACTGTCATCCTCACTGGTAGACATCGATGTTTCGACGTAAGACACCTGCCTTAGGGCTCCTCAGTACCAAATTGGATAACATTATAAGAAAACACACACAATGCATTCATCTCGATACAAAAAAATGTGGGAATCTTCGAAAGAAAAGGAGGAAGCAATTAATTTCAATAGAAGTAACTCTATACATAGATGTGGAGTAACTTTCACACAGGTGAGAAGAACCCGTTTTCAATTCAGTCAAATCAAATCAGATAGCCTGAAGTGTGAAGCGGAAACGAAGAAAGTAATTTCTAAAAAATAACCTAAACCCTTTCGAATATCCAAAACACTTGGCAAAACTATTTTTCAGCAGTTGAGGGTAACACGATAAAAATATCGAAACTGCTTGTAACATACCCGTATTGCCATTACGAAGTTTATTTCCATTATTTAATGACTAATTTTGCGCCCAAGTACACGACATAAATGAAAATTAAAATGAAAAAAATACATGAAAATTTTATATTGCCGAATTTATTTGCATATTCATTTTATGAATCGCGCCTTCGTTAAAAATGCTCTTTCATATAAATGACCAAGGATAAAATTTATTGTCTCCAGCATGTAACAGTCACCAACGAGCAATTAGGTAATGCCATTGTCATTTCGAATGTTGCACAATTTTCAACAGCCATACCCCCTGCCCTCAACAATTTGTTTCTTTTCAGAATATGTCGGAGATTTTATCTCGTGCATTTTATTATGCCAGCTGAATTGAATGTGTTGATTTAGGACGGTGTTTCAAGTGGTGGATTTTTCTCTTTTGTTTTGGATATTTTTCCAAGCGAATAATAACTCGTTAGCTTGTTTATTTCATTAACATTTCAGAGAGGAACTGATTGTACAGAAACGTAATTTTTCATTCGAGGCATATAACGAAAATTAAAAAGTTCAAAATACTTCATAATCATTATTCAAATTATTCATTGTTTGTTTGAAGGTGGTTGACAATGTTTTGTGTTGTATTTTATCTGTTCAGACTTCCATTGTCTAATATAATATGAATTGATTTGAAATCCCTGAAAAAATTAAAAAGATTAACCGAAAATAACAATTTTATTAAACAAAAAACTGAAATTACAAAGAAATAACATACAAGCAACAACAAAAACATAATAAAGAATTAAAGTATTAATGAATTTACCTCTTTCAATATTTTTTCACAGTAGAATTTGAATATTACTAGAGTTCTATTCCAACACCAAACCGTTATTTTCGACACCTCAACATGTGTTTCAATCACTAAGTGATCATCTTCGAAAGGAAAAGTCTTATTTTTATCTTGAAGATGATCACTTGGTGATCGAAACACGTGTCGAGTTGTTAAAATAACGGTTTGGTGTTGGGATGTAACTCCAGTAATATTCATTACTACACGAAAGGTTTCAAATGGTGCATCACAAGTACAACATAATATAGTGAATATAACTACTTCTTTGTCTAACACCACTACGGACACTGAATTACGAACATTAATCGAGTGCCTTTGGTAGAATCTGATGAGGGATAATAATTATTTCACATCAAAGCCCAAAAACAGAACAATTTCAACCCATCGTAGTCCTGATTTGTGGTGCGAAGCTGAATCACGAATGTATCGTTGGACTGAATTGTCCTCAAGACGTCATGAAGACGGCATTCATGAAACTGACACAATACTCAAGTCACGAATATCAAAGATACACTCCTCAAGGCAGTCAGTCACAAAGCCAAGTTTTGACATCACATGCCCAACAATATTCGTTATGCCATGTCTAACTCATGGAACGATGGCAGAGAAGAATGTTTCAAATGTTCATCAGAAATATTCATTGACCCACATGAGACTTATTTCATTTCTGTTATATTTTCTAGTATTATAGTTTTCCAAAATTTGAAAAGTGTACAGCATCCATTGAGAATACCATTTCAAATTATGTTACACTTGATGAAGGCATCTGATCGCCTGTTTCAGTTTCAACGAACGTTGTTTTATTGAAAAATTTGAATGGGTCAAGTGGGTACATGTAAGACGATATTGTTGGCTATTCTGCAAATATATGCAAATATTCTTAGGAGGTTTTCGATTGTTAGGTGCAGGGGCATTAGAAAGAAATGAATGTCCTGTGTTGCAACAATTCAGACGTGACACAAACTTTTTATCAAAAATACATGATTTTTTTTCTTACTCATTCGATGTAGATGAATATGCAACCCGTAATGGCAATTGTGACTAGTTAGTTATCATTTCGTTTTATAAAAATGAGTTTCATTGTTTCAAAACGATTGTATTTTCTTCGTCAAAGATTCCCCAGATTTTACTGCATGGAAACCTCCGAATTTTCATTCGAAATATTCATTTTCTTGGCGAAAGAATTTTTAATCGAGATAATCAACTTACTGATTGGATTTCTTTTACATTTTTAGGTTTGTTTTTCCACAATCTGAATAAGTATAAAATCGAAGAAAACTCTGGGTAGCTATTTGATGAATATATTAGAAGTTCGCCTCGAAATTATACAGAACCGTTTTTAGATATTGACGATTTTTAAAAACATTTTTCAATACTTCTTCTGGTATTGTTTCAATACAAAAAGTCGTACTGGATTTTTCTGTTGTCAGATTTCAATAATATCACCTTATGGTAATATTCAGAATTTTAAATAAATTTCACAAACTACTTCTTTTTTCCCTAGTTATTTTTCTGATAGGAAGTTATTACATCATTCAATGGTCAAATTTGAAATGATTTGTCATCTATTTGTTCTTGGTAGAACATTGCGATTGAATCTAGAAATATTTGCGTCCTAAGAAAAAAAATCAGAATGGTTATTAAAAATAGTAAAAAATTCACCACAAAAATACAAAGAGGGCATACGTTGAGTGACATCCTGTGTAAAAATTCTCTGAACATTATAATAGCCTATTGGAAGTATCTGTGGGATATTGTAAAATATATTCCATATTTCTCCGCCAATTATGAAAATTCATGGGAAAATTTTCAATGTTTTTCAAATATCTTCAGAATCGAAATGAATAGCTTGGCATTACTCCACAAGCTACTGACTGATTTTCTCTCTTCCAAAAGTACATTCATAAATTGCAAATAATTGTTTCTATTATTCATTTGAATGATATATACGATATTCTCAAAAATACCTGTAGTACCTCCTTCACTGCCAGTATCCTCAACAGTTTCCTGAGTTTCTGGTATTTGTCTCGTAGAAAAGCGTTGTAAAAAAGAGTCTTCTCTCTTGAGGGGTGGTTTCTGAAAATAAAAGAATTGTGTATTATTTTATGAAGAAGCTTGTCTTCAAGTATGATCATCTAGAATATAAAAATGTTTTTCAATTGAGTAATTTACACAGATCATGTTTTGAATACTCGTTTTGTGAAATACTTTCTTATTTTGCATTTTGCACGCACTGTCATAAACCGCAATTCATACTTCACCGGTGAAAAGTTTCCTTTTAAATTTCAATAATAATAATAATGAGAGATTGCATGCTCTGTGGTGTGAAATACATCCGGAGCATGCCCCCTTTTCCGCCCAAAATCTTAAGGATCACGTATTCTATCTTTGGCGGCAGGACTATACATATAGCTCCTCCCCAGCCTACTAACGAAGTGATAGAAGTGACAGTTCTACCACCCGTTGGCACTGCTGAAGAGGAGACTCGCATCATGCCACCAATGGACTCCTTCAGAACACGCAGGGCGCTCTTCAGAATTAGTACCCTGAAGCCACAAGTACTGGTTTGTTTGGATGTGGAGGTTCATAGTGTTCTAACAGAAGAGGCTGATATCTGGAAAATCAACACCCGCAGCCACTCAACTTAGACACTCCAGCCCTAGCGCAGTTCGAAGCTTTCAACAGAGAGCTTAAATTTATGTTATAAGTTGTTTACAAGTATATTATACACACGAATACTCACCGCAGTTGACCGAGTGTTCGAACGGATATATGAGCAGAGAGGGTCGAAGAGAGGAGTCGCTGGATGTAAAAAGAACCTGCTCATCGATAGATGTGTAACGCAGGACTCGATACAATATAAGCGTAACCTCTCTATGGCCTGGATCGATTACCGTAAGGCATTTTATACAATTTCGCATGAGCTCATCTTGCATTTGCTCAGATGTCCGACAAAATAGTGAGATGCATTGAACAACTGATACCACTTTGGCGAACTCGCTTCATCATAACATCTGGTCAAGCAATAGTCCAAACAGGTTGGGTCACTTTTAGAAGGGGTGTATTTCAGGGTGATTCCCCCAGTCCCCTTCTCTTCTGCATCTCACTATTGCCATTATCCATTGCGATCAGAAATACTCGAAGGTATAACCGTCGAACCCCCGGAAACTGGAGGCACAAGGTCACCTGTAATGTCAGTAGGAATGTGCCTGGACTATAATACTGTATAAAAAGTTATCTGTGACGTCCTTGGACAGGACTGTGATTTGGTATTTTAAAATTGGAAAATATAGTTATTGAATGAACCTTGAAGGTGTTTCATTTAGATGGATGACAGACATTACAAGTGGCGACGAGGATGAACGTATATTGAAAATTTAGTCTTACAACGGATTTGTTTGATTGAAAACAAGTAACATGGCGACGGGACAATTTGGGTTACAAACGGAGTTCAATCCAGACATTCACGATTTCGGCATCCATGTCCGGCGACTAAAATCGTTTTTTACTGCTAATGAGGTGGCAGAGGAAAGTAAGCAGCGAGCAATGTTGTTGAATAGCCTCAATCAGAGTGCAATTGCCTTACTCGAGGACTTATGTGTTCCCGATAAACCAAAAAATAAAGGTTTCAATGTGTTGGTTGAGTTATTGGAGAAACATTATCAACCGCAACGGGAAGTTTATGCAGAAAGGTATGCTTTTTATTATTTACGACGACAGGACAACACATCGCTTCAGGAAAGTATTCCTCTAAAAAAGGTATGTTTTTTTGTTCGGTGTGCGGGGGCAAAAATCACGAATCCTACAGATGTTTTTACCGAGAATATATTTGTGAGAAATGCGGAGGAAAAGGCCATTTAAAGAGAGTATGCAAGGTGGGTCTAAACCATTCATTTAATTATTTCGAAAATGAACAGTTAGAGTCGAGCGTTGATGATACCAACGAGTTTTCGACAACAGTTAGAGATAAAACTTTATTTTGTTTGAAATCTTTAAATGAAAATCCAATAATAGTAGATGTTAAGTTGAAGAGAGTAAGTTTCAAAGTTGCATTAGATTCAGGGGCTTCAAAATCAGTAATTTCAGAAAATTTGTGGAGAAAACATTTCCAAAAGTTACCTCTAAAAGAGACCAATTTGAGTTTTGTAACATATGTTGGGGACAAAATTTGTAATACCGGTACGTAAACCCAAACCTATGAGTTTATTAAAGATAATATTATCAAATCATAAAATCGCCAGAAGAGAAATTATCGAGGAAAAATACGGGATCGTCTTGAAATAGGACAAAAGGTGCTAGTGAAAGAGTATAGAAGGGTTAAACCAGAGTGGATATCGGGAATTGTAATTCGTAGATTAGGAAAAAATATTGTTAAAGTAAGAATACCCAATACCAATTTGGAATGGAAACGTCACATAACCAGATTCTCCCTGTTCATGATAGCTATGTGAATGTAGGAGAAGTTGAAACCAGTAAGGAACAAATTGTTTTGCCTCAAGAGGTGGAAAAATCGAACTCTCAATTAAGTAGCAATGAGGCACCAGGAGCGGTGGTTGGAAAATCACAAGAGAGAGATTCAACGATGTCAATATCGAATTATGATAATATCAATTCAACTAGTAGTGATCAAGAGACTCATATATCTCCCAGTGAATTATCCCATCGCCCCCAGCGTTTCAGAAAACCGCCTGAGCGGTTTGTACCACAGTTATAAGCACAAGAGTTCTAAATTAGAAAGGGAGGAGTGTAATGTCAGTAGGAATGTGCCTAGACTATAATTCTGTATAAAAAGTTATCTGTGACGTCCTTGGACAGGGCTATTTGATTTGGTATTTCAAAATTGGAAAATATAGTTATTGAATGAACCTTGAAGGTGTTTCATTTAGATGGATGACAGACATTACATCACCCATTTGTTTTATATGGAGGATCTTAAACTTTATGCCTCTGAAGAGAAGGATCTCCATCAGTCCTTGAGGGTGGTGGTGCTATCGGTATGAAATTCGGGATAGACGAATGTGCAATGGTTCTTCTCAATAGAGGACGATGCGGGGACTACGGAGAGGATATGCAGCTCGTAGATGGAAGCATCCTACATCATCTGGATGCCGGAGAGACGTATACTTACCTCGGGGTGGAACAACGCCACTCACAAGAAGTAACAGCAGTGAAAAACTCTCTCTGCGGCAAGTATCAGCACAAACTTTGACAGATCTGATCATCGGAACTGTCTGGGAAGAACAAAGTTGCTGCAACAAATATGCTTGCCGTTCTAATTTTACTCTACTCGTTTGGAGTAGTGAAGTGGACTCGTGAGGAGCTGTATCAACTCGACGTAAAGACTCGAAAAATGATGCTTCTTTATAGGAGTCCGTTCCACGGTTTCACAATTGTACTTCCCCCGACAACAGGAAGGTCGTGGAATTTCGAGTTTGGAGTGTCTACATGGCAGAATGGTACTGGATACAGCCTGTAAAGTCGTCAGGAGTTCGGATCCCCTTCTCTGCATGGTCCGTGAACATGAGAGAGCAGGAATTGGAGCATTTCTCTTTAGGGCACCTGCTCGAGCAGCTGATGAACTCAGTATAGTCCTCGACAGAGAACGAGGTGACCACAACTCTGTCACCGAGTTGAAACCCGTTCAGCAAAAAGTTCAGATAAAAGCCGTAGAGATCACTTTACTTCTGCGGAAACACAAGGATAAGCCAATGCATGGGGTCTTCTTCAATAACATTGGAGACCTTGGCTTATCAAAGCGCGTGACGTTCGCTTTTCTAAGCCGCTCATTTGTGGTTTCACTTAATAGATCTTGTGTTTACAAGAAAACTATCAAAATCACCACGGAGACAGCTATAGCTACCTGCGTGACATCCGGGTCCAGGAAATAATATAAATACGAAGGTTATCGAGTGTCTTGATATAGATAAAGGAGTTTTTTAATCGGACATAGCACTCAAGGAAGTGGCAAACCATAGACACGTGTTTCGGGCTTTTGGCCCATCATCAGTATGGTGCAGCCATAATCAATGTGCTTGTTCCAACAGAGTTGAGCATCAACTTTTTTGCTAAACATGTGAGAACTGTTGATATTTTTTATTTTTCCTGGTAATATTTGGTATAAGCGTGGTCCGAGATATGTTGATATTCTTTGTCTTATGGTTTTGCCACATCGTGATGCATTGTTTCCTTTTTTCCTAGTATTGTAGGAGTGAATGATAGGTTTTATTTTGATGTTTCTTTTTCTTACAGTACCGAATATGCTCATACAAAAAGTTGTCGAATATCACATACACTCGCTTCTTATGTTTCAATCATTCATTTCAATTCTGGAAAATTGCTATATTTTCTGGGAAGACGAATTTCAGGATTCATGGAGCTTCATCGTTTTTATGTATTTCCATTCCAGATGATTGAGTTCTATGTTTCGATTCTCATGTAAATAATAGATGGAGTACCACATACCAAGAAGTACCACAAACCAGCAGGATGATGCGCGACCTATTATTGCAGAAGACTATTAAGATTCCAGGAGATGATGGTCAAGGAAAAACGATCCCGGTTTAGTAACCGTCAGCTTTCTCCCGATAGAAATAATATTATTAACTGAACCAAACAGCAATTGCAGTATAATATTTCAACTCTGATGGTGGACATTTAAATATTCTAGTATACGGAACGTTAGAAAGAGCCTTTTTGACTCCACAGTTGGTATTTTTTAAAAGATATGAAATTACCCACAGTTCATTTATTTTGAAAAGGGGTACTTGAGTAGCAGAAAAAAAAATCGTAGAAACTTTCAGGAAAACAACATGTAAACAATCTGAGAAATTGCCGACGACTATCTCTTTTTGAATGACTGAGTGCAAGCTATAAGATCTGTCACTTATTAAACGCAAACGTTAACTGGTTTGTCTTTCACTTGTACTATAAAAGTATCGGTATAAATTTTCATTCTAATAATCCTTGTTATTCAGATTTATTTATTGTGATTAGGTCAGGGATATCAAATTTACATTTGAATAATAACATAAATATTTGCAGAACTCGGCAATGCTAACCGTGAACTCAACTTCATTATTATCCAATTATTTTCTCGTGACAACTCGACAGTTGAGGGTATTTTCACAAATCACTGAAAGTACAAATTTCATTCGCATTTTCACGGAGTTCTATTTGCGGTGGTGGCTGAAGCCAAATGGATTTTATCCGCAAATTGTGCAAATGTTCCACATGTGCGAGATAACCACCTCACTATCTTATGTAAAAGTGATTTAAACCTTTGGATAGCAAAAACAACTGGAAATATTCTCGAAGCTTTCAATTTATTCATGTAAAATTGAGGATACACACTAACTGTTGACAGTGATTTGGGTTGCAAAGTGAATATTTGTAATCGGATAGAGACTTTTGTTTTCGGTTTACGTTTATGAGATTTTCGTTAGATATGATATTTCACCATATGCGTTCTAGATACCTTGAATTATAAACTTGATTTAATTGAATGGATTTGAAGTCAAACAACAGATATACTTTCATCACATAACAAACAGGACTATTCATTTGATTTTTATATTTTTCGCAAAATGTATTATTGGAATTTCAAAGGTCTATATCATTCACACAGTGAATATATTATCGAAATACCATCTCCACTGAACAAGATTTCCGATTTTGTTGAGCCTCATTGGGTCATACCCATTCAAATAAGTTTTGGGATAACAGCCTCGTTGAGAGGGGTGAATGATTTGCAAGGTCAAAACGTGTCCTCCTCAAAAAGCAAATATGACATTTTACTTCATTTCCGTATATTTTTTTTCAAAGGCAAAACACAAGCACTACAGGAAACTTCTTAAGGCGCTCTCAGAACGGTGCCTGTGCGGTAGTAGTGATTCACAATGGATTTGAATATCTGAAGATCAAATCCATTTGGAAAAATATTCGCAGGAAGTTTATTCCACATAAATGCCGTTCTCCAAATGAAATGCTCTAGAAACGATGAGCAGCGTATTTCTGTACCAAATGTGACAGGTCACCTGAACACTTCCCATTAGTGTATGTAGAAGAGAGACAAATCCAAACCTTCTTCGATGTTTCAGACTATCAAAGTTGCAAGTGACATGAGAACAATAATCCAAAGAAGGTTTGATCTGAGCTTTATAAAGCATCAAAAGTTGCTAAGGTGTGTATAGTTTTCTGGTTCAGAACAGTGGTCCAAGCTTTTGAGAAGCAGCCTTTGCAATTCCAGCGACATGATTGTGCCAAAACAAATTGGTGTCCATTTTAACCCCCCAACAAACTCATCGAAGCAGAAAGCAGAATTGTTCGACCTGACATTATTATATCCGGTTCGGACACATTTATCTTTTTATAGAAAACCGATGCCTGGGCTTTTATTGCAATGAATTGAACCTGGTTACTCTCACCCCAATAAGTCGTTGATATACAATGAAGAGAATGTTGGGGACAATATAGATCCCTGGAGAACACCAGCGTTGATGGTGAAAGTATTCGAGAGATATCCATCGATGGCCACTTGCAGGAAACATTCTTTCAGAAAGCTGAACAGCCATAGACAAATATGATCCGACAAGCCATAGCATCGAAGTTTGGCCAGCAAACCCTCATGCCACACACGGTCAAAGGCCTTAAAAATATCAAGCACCACAGTTCGTGACTCTCCATGTTTCTCGAGTGCGTTATTTCAAATATGGGTGACATACGATAGAAGGTCGCGTGATGATCTTTGTTTCCGAAATCCATATTAATGACCGCTCACGATGTTGAAGCCTTCCAAGTATTTGAGAATATGATGGTTTACGGCTTTCTCCACGATAGCAAAGCGACTGGTCTATAGTTATTGGAAGAGTTTTTTTGCCCTTTTGGGGAATAGGCTGAATGATCTGCAGAATACTGGTGCGAGTTCATTCGCGCACTTTTTGAGAACGATGACGGGTATTTCATCAGGACCACGGATGTATCTTTCGAAATATCATATGGCTGGTTGTAGGAGGATACTGCGACTGCAACACCTTGAAAGAATGACCTGCGCTTGTGAACAAACAACATTCCTGTAATTCTTGTTGAAGTTGACGTCTACAACCCTGTGTCACGAACATTAAATGTTTCTTGGGATTAAATCATAATATTCACTATTACTACACTGTCATTCATTTGTCTCTCTGACCTTTGGTTGGTTGAAAACTGAAAAACTAAGTATAATCATGATTCTCTACAAGAACGATATTCCCTGCATTTGCTTCCGCATATAATATCCATGCTCCAGGCGAAGCTGAAGATTCTCCCAAAATAAACAGAATACCTTCAACGAACATAAAAAATATTAAAATAAATCTGACGACTGAATAGAGAAGAGATATATATGTATAAGGAAATGAATATTTCGAAATGGAATTTCGAAACACTCATCTCTGCCAACGTAACTACACAGTAGATGCTGGTGAATGCTGAATTATTCTAGATATTCATAAAAAAAGACTCACAGAGGTTAGTCTTGCAGATATTTTTCGTTCAATCAGCGGCAAATCTACGCTCAAGTCAGTCGAATAGATCACCTCTAGACCGATTTCGAGGTATTACCTCTCATCAGTGCAAGAAAGATCGACTGCATGTATGAAACCTTCGACTAAGAGAAAGATTGTTAACTAGCAACAGCTCCAAATCGTGAACAAAGCCCGAAGCGGGGAAGAATATTAAAAAAATCAGAAGCTGGAAAAAATCAGTTTGCGTTTATCGAGACGTTGCGAACGCGTTTAATACTCAACTGTTAGACGTTCTACAGGACAAATTTTTCTTCGCTGATCCTTTTTATTTCTCAACTTCCTCGACAGAGGTCAAAACTGCTAATAATCTTGAATTTTCTACAAGTCAGCTTTCGAATAGTTGAGATTGTGGAAGGTAGAAATATCCAAAGGAGGTCGATGTGACTTTTGAATAAAATGAAAATTGCCAAGGTATCGCACATTTATGAAAGTGGCAGTAGAAAAATGTCGACCAATTTCTGTGCATCCAGCTTTTACAAAAATTTTAGAGAAATTGATACATACAAGGCTTTTGAATTACCTTGAAAACAAAAAACTTTTATATACAGGTCAATAAGGTTTTCGGAGATCTAGCGACACATAGACAAAGGTAAAGCATGTAGTGTCGCAAAATTAAATGAAAATTGATAAAAATAAGAAATGTTGTCCCTTATTCCTCGATTTGTGCAATTATTTTGATTCAGTTAATCATAGTATATATTTAAAAAAAAATTCAATATTTGAACCAGAGGTAGTTTTATCGAATGGTTTCAAAATAATTTGTATAATAGAGGACAATATGCTCATATGAGTAATCTTCAACATTCAACTTGTAGTGTACCTCAAGGATCCATTTTTGGTCCTGTTTTTTTTGTTCTTATTAATATCAATTCTTTAGCCAATTTTTATTATAATTGAATTTCATAATCAAAGTATTTGATACTACTATTTCTGAAACAGTTACGAAAAAATAAAAAATAAATTATCAGCATCTATTAATTTTTGGGATAATGAACTGAGTTGAATTGAAGATTGTCGATGTGAAAAACATTTTTGCCACGTACATCAAAAATACACTACCCAGCCAATTACTTCTGTTACATTCACTACTTCAGTTCATGATATTTCATCAATGATAATTCATTTATGTTTGAGAAATGAAGCAAAAAGTTTCTGTCGTTTTTTGATATTATTGAAATTGGAGGCGGTAGAGCAAAAACAAAATCTGTTTTTTGCAAATATCTCAGAAATGGTTGGTGATTTTGTCGATCCGAGAATACTACTATGTTGCATCTCTGAAAAGGCAATTTTTGTTCCATTCAATCGTTCTTGTAGGACTTACCGTTTCCGAGATAGCGATATTGGTATCAGCTAAAAAAGCGGCCTGTATATTGGCTTGGTTTTCGTCTTAAAAGTGTTTGGAGTTCAGTTTTTATACATTTTGAATAAAAGTTAATATACATGGAATGGACTGATATAACAAAAGTGTGCTTATTGTATGTGATTCAACAATGATTTGTATATCTTTTGGTTACTATTTGCAATTCATACAGTGCGGAGTATCAAGCAACTAATGAACGAATTCTTCAGTTAACAAATATCTATAGCAGGTTGTTTTCACTACAATGTCTCCAGTATTACCTTTGCTGATATTGCTGAAGATATCTGTACAGTGGTCCGGAGTTTCATCCATCTTTGATTTGATTTGGTTCTGCAAGAAGAAAAAATTCATTAATATCCAAAAGTATCAGATCTTCAATCCACAATGCAGAAGATCACTTCACGAAAACATCCATGTCAGTTCAAAAACCTTACAGTGGAAAACACAAGTAGAACAGAGATTAAAGAGCTCATCTAAAAGTACCTAATAATCGAGTCAAATGTCTAAATAGTGTCTCGATTGTAAAGAATGATACGTAGATTATCATTTTGAGTTGTATTTTGCATTACTGATACACAGAGATATTTCTATTCTGAGAACTATTCCTAGCTTATGAAACAAGACAACTAGATAATTTGTAAAAACTAATATTACAATATCAATGTCAACCCAGCGGCAGCGGGCAAACGAAGTTTTTTGACAAACAGGCAAAATATTACGAAATATATAATGACTATGCTAAACTATATCTACTTGCCAATTTTCATGCAAAATACAACCTATATTTTTATCATAAACAAAGTGATACACCTTGGACTATTGAGAGAGAAAATATTAATCAATGATTGAATTCGTTGAACCAATAAAAACTGAAGACGAATGACCGACAATTTGAAATATTCATTCGGAGACTATAACACAGAAGACATTAAACCGAAAAATTGTGATTTCCAATGATGATGGGATATATTTTAAGTTGATACTCCAGTTAAGAATGATATTTTCTGCATGAATATAAAATAGAATCTGTGAGGTAGTACGGTTTTAGAAAAATAAATCAGCTGGAAATGTTATGAGGAACATAACAACGTACATTAATGATAGTCTAATCAACAAGTTCAGCTATGAAAAATTGCTTAAATAATAATATTTTTTGAGTTAATAACGAAAAACTAAATACCTTTTTTTTAAATCTTACTTTGTTAATAACAATTGCAATTTTTTACCTGACCTTCATCTCTATTTTTCATGTTGTTGAACTTGTTGACTAGACTATGACGCGATATACCAGAAAAAATTATTGTTACGCATTTTCATAGAACTCGCTGCCATAATGAACTGTTGCAAAAGTTATACTGATACGACCCTCATTCATTGAAAAGCTAGGTGATGAACAGAAAGCAAATAATCAGAGTAAGCAAACACAGCTATTTTGTGACTATGATTTAAGGTATGCTGCACGGAACAACACTCATTGACATGAACGTCAATGATTCTAATGGAAACAACTTTTTCAAACCAGAACAAAAATATTTTCTCCCGATGCATGTTTCGCTAAGTTATCATCATCAGGATAAAAATGTTTCATTTTAGTTTCTGAAGTATTGATGTTTTCCAGTTATTTACAAAAAACTCCTCAATACTTTCTCAATTTGTTAATTACTATAGCAATTTCTTGTCTGAAGTGAAATCATCAAAAAATTTTTTTCCTCCACAAAAATGACTTTCGTTGAATATTTTTTTTACATGTCACTCTGAATCTAAAGAGTTATTCGTTCATATTTTTACGTGCCTGATATGGAACACGACTATATCGAATGATAAGAAGTACGAAGTTTCAACAACAATAATTGGTCACTATTTTGTACCCTATCATCTATTGTTGAGTGTTTTCAACTCATTTTATTGGAACTTCAATAACGTACCAGTATTGAATTGAGAATTACATTCGAAAATTGGAACGTTTTCATTAAGGAGCTCGAAAAATAAAACATCTTTGAGATCTTGAGCGATCATCAATATGGCTTTCGGAAACAAAGATCAACAGACGACCTTCTATCGTATGTCAGCTTTATTTGGAATAACGCAATCGAGAAACCTGAAGAGTCAAGAGTTGTTGCGCAAACCCTCATGCCACCGTGTGTGTCATGAGGGTTTGCTGGCCAAACTTCGATGCTTATGGGATCGTTTTTGTGTATGACTCTCTAGCTTCCTGAAAGAACGTTTCCTGCAAGTGACCGTCAATCAGTATATCTTGAATACCTTCACCATCAACACTGGTGTTCCTCAGGGATCCATATTGTCACCAATCTTCTTTTTATTGAATATCAATGACTTATTGAAACAAAATTTTTGAAGCCAATATAATCCTTTGCTGATGACAACACACTTGTCTTGTCATTCCATTTGGATTCCAGGACATTGGCTTCGGATGCATATCTTCAACGATAGCAGGAGGTTGCATATCTTAATGAGGATCTAGAAGTGATTTCGAATTGAAGTGACCTAACCAGGTTCAATTCAATGCCACAAAAACACAAGCATTGATTTTCTCCAAAAAGATTCATGTCTTCGAACCGGATATAATGGAATCATGATAGACAATTTCGCTTTCTGCTTCTATAAGGTTGTTGGGGGTTAAAATATCAGTATGTCTTGGCACCATCATGTTGCTGGAATTACAAAGGCTGCTTCTCGAAAGTTTGAAACACTGTTCTGAACTAGAAAACTGTACACACCTCAGCAACTTTTGATACTTAATAAAGCTCAGATAAGACCTTCGTTGGAGTATTGTTCTCAGGTAAGGATCTTTACTCTTGAGCATACCCTGAAGCTGCAATCCAGAAAAGAGCCATTAGAGACGGGAACATCACTTGCAACCTTGGTAGTCTGAAACATCAAAGAAATGTTTGGGATGTGTCTCTCTCCTATAGATACTCACACGAGAAGAGTTCAAGTGACATGGCACATTTGATTCCACCAAGAGCGGTACATATCAGAAATACGCGACGAACTGTGGCTGCTCACAGTTCTGAAGTTCAAGTCAGTACTCCTCGAATTCCACTGTTCAAGAACTCTTCCATTTGAAGAACTGCGTTTATGTGGAATAAACTTCCAGAGAAAGTTTTCCCAAATGGATTTAATCCCCAGCGATTCAAATCCAATGTGTTTGGACCTTCAAAAAATAAAATTGTTTAACCATTTGATAATTTTTAAATGAACGAATTGAATATGCATTGCTTATCGCTTTAGCATTATTATTGATTATCACTGGCCCATTTTAATGAATATAACTGTAATTATGATTTGCATTTATTATTGGAGGGCGTTGCGATTTTATTATATATCATTTCTGGTCAGATTGGATAATGAAGAAGGCGTACTCAATCAATACCATTTTGAATTGTTTCATGATGAATATTTCCATGCTTTATATTTTCATGTGCATATAGTGAGACTAATATTTTTTCTATAAGTTTATTTTGGGAATTGGGTATGACAAAACCTAAATGTCCTTTAAACAACATAAACGAAATTTTGAAATTGATCGTCAATTGGAGAACCACTCTATAGCATTAAGATAATTCTGATAGCAGGGGAGCCCACAATGCAAAAAGCGTCATTGAGACATATTGGGTTGCAAAGCTTGGATGATAAGAAGAAAAATTTTTATATAATATATACCTTTTCATCG